CTTTTGGATGGTACAACGGGTATGGAAGATGTTCTCCCATTGTAATTGCTCTTCGGGGCATGGTATGGCACTTAAGGTCCTTCGGATGACCAAAAGTTCTCCGTCATCGGGACCAACGCATTCTTCTTCCTCTTCCTCGGCTACTTCTTCATCCCACACGGGATTGTACTCTTCATCATCATACTCAACCAAGGCCATTATTTTCTTGTTTGGGCACTCATTGGCGTAGTGACCAGTTCCTTGGCATCGGTAACAAACGAGGGCTCTTTTGTTGGTTGTAGGGGCTGTTTTAGGTGGGGGAGGAGTAGGGTTTGGCTTAGATGGAGTTTGGGGTTTGGGGGTTTGGTCGTGGGCAGTAGGGGTGACTTTGGATGGGGTGTATGTGGGGCGTGAGTAAGGGGGAGGGTTTCTTGAGAGGATGGCTTTGGATTTCTTCATTTGAGCCTCAACTTTGAGAGCCAACTTAGTAAGCTCTTCAAAAGTAGTGTAGCTTTGCAGCTCCACCGTATTGGCTATTTGAGTGTTTAATCCGAAAAGGTACCTCACAAAGGTTTGCTCCTCGTTTTCTTGCAAGTCACACCTTAGCAAGAGCTCTTCGAATTCCCGAGTATAATCCTCCACTGATTTCGTACCTTGCCTAAGCGTTTGAAGCTTAGCAAAGTTGTCTCGTGAGTATTCGGTGGGCAGGAACTTCTTCTTCAAAAGACTCCTCATCTTTTGCCAAGAATCAACGGGGGGTTTCTCACTTCGAACTCGTTTGGTGGTGGTATTCATCCACCAAGTAGAGGCATACTTTCAGAACTTTAAGGCCACGATCTTGACGTTCTTCTCATCGGAGATTTCCTTGAAATCAAAGACTCGTTCCACCGTTTCTAACCACTCAAGAAATTCATCCGGATCATTCTTTCCTTCAAAGATTGGAATATCAACTTTGAAGTCAGAATGAAACTTTTCATGAGCCCTAGCTCTCATGGTGGCACTAGAGCTAGCTTCCTCTTCATCTTCACTATCTCGTAGCATGGACATCTTTTGCTTTGTGAGCTTAGCCACTTCTTTGGCTAGGTATTCCACTTGAGCTTGCAAGGCAGCGTTTGCGGCTACGAGTTCTTCATGAGACATGCTTCGGGATTAGTTTGACATGGTTGATAGGAAAAGGGATGAAGTGGGAGTGGGGATTGAATGTGGTTAGGCCGAATTTAGGGAGGGAGTTGGGGAAGTGTGTATGGTCCTTGAGAGATGAGCAACAACTAGCTCTGATACCAGATGTTGTACCCAATCTTAGGAAAAGCTATGGATGAATAAGGGAAGATTATAGAGGGGAATATATGGTGAAGAATAGGTTGGATTTGTGTATGAAATGGTGAAGAAAGTATGGTTGTTTGGAAGAGGTGATAGGGCAGAATGAAGGGCAGGAGAAAAGCAATATTATGGAGTGGTTTTTGATGAAGAAATGAAGTGTTTAAATGAGATAAAGGGGATGCACGAAATTGGGAGAGAAAGAGGGAGTTCTTTTGTGATTTTTGTTGTACAAAGATAAACCAAATAATGAATAAGAGATAAACACACTCTTATTTTATTTGGGGCTGATTCTTTTCACACAATAATATTCACTATTATTATATGAAATAGACTCCTAACACACACTCAAAAGTAGCCAACTTTAGAGATATTTTATTAGGAAATTGAGAGAATTAGCTTCACACCAACTCAAATATTACTTCAAAGAGTAAAGAAATGGAATACAATGAATGAGTTTTACAAGGCCATAGGGCCGAAATATATAGGGAAAACAGCAAGGAAACTTCACCACTCTTTCCTACAATTCAAGTGCATAATGTCTATTTGATGGATCCCATAGGTTGTCCTCATTGATCAAGGCTAAAAGGGGCTCATGGTGGTGAAATGGGCTGTCTTTGGGTGGGGAAATTCGGCCATGTGAAGGGTAGGGTGAGGGAGTGTGTCATTTTTGTCCATTTATGCAAAGTAAGGTAGGTGACACATCAAGGGATTGGTTGTTTATTCCTTTGGCCTTATTATAGGTTTGAGAAGTGATTTGGGGGATGTTTGGGGGGAGGAATTCGGCCATGGGAAAAGGAAAGTGAGGGGGGGATGGTTTTGAATGATTTTCACACCAAGACAAAAGACATGTTTAATCCTTGTCTCCTGATTTGGTCTTTTGTGTTTTGTAATGGATTGGGATGAATGGAGATGGATTCTAAGGCCAAAAGGGAATGTATTTTCGTGGGTTGGGTTTTGGGAGAGAAGGGTCATGGTTCGGGCTTTAATGTGGGACGGGTCAATGAGTTCAACCCAAAATGGATCATAACACCTAGACATTAAACACTTGACTTGTTGTAACACTAGTGGCGTGTGTGAAGGTGCATTTCGGGGTATATCAAAGGAAGACACGTGGCAAAACCTGGTTGGCCGGAGCAGCTCAAGCGTCCCGATCTGGACGCCTGGACTTGGACGCCTTGGCCTCTGTCCTATAAATACAGCGCGATCCACCTCATTCCATCCATCACTTTCACTCCCATTCTCGGGATTAGCACCTTATACTTCAGTTCCTAGTTCTAGTTTATCATTATAGTAGTTTTAGATTAATTTTTGGAGGAATTCTACTCCCAATCTGTTCAAATCCGCTTGTACGGAAGCTGTTTTAATTCATGTTTCCATAGTATGAGTTAGGGTCCGGATCTCTGGGTCCGGACTAGTTTGGTTGTATACTTTGAATGTTAAATTAATGTTGGAATGGTTAGTCTATTGTTCTTGCCTTATTTAGTTAATTATTCTTGAAAGGTTTAATTAGCTATTTATTGAGAAGATATTGTATACCAAAAGGGTATGATATTCAAGTGCAACGGGTTAAGTACAAATCTAGAAATGGATGAGTAGTAATAGAAATATTATTATTCCAATTTTTAATTTAATAAAATAGATCCGAATGATGTCCTGACCCTAGGTCCAGATCTATACTTATACTATGTGAAATTTATTTATTATTTTTACTCTGCTCCCTTTTTATTCGTTCCGAGAAGACTTTCATAAACCAATCCTAACCTACGCCTAGTTAGAGTAATTAAACTAATTCCCTTCGTCCACTCCTCGTGAGATACGACACTCGGAGAGAAAACTAACCCTTTATTGGGAAGGTTTACTACCCGAAAAACTACAATTCATCAGTACGGTGTAGAGTACACCGTCTCAAGCAATTACTATAAATATTTCGAGATGAATCATATTGTGGAAGACTTCATTGTACTTCCTGGAGGGATTGACACTATCGAAGGTTTATTCACTTTGATCTCATGGGAATCCGAAGGAATACACAGTAAACCCATTGGTCTTTTGAACATTGACGGTTATTTCAATAACCTAATCAAGTTTCTAGATGATGCAGTGAGGCAGAACTTCATGGCTTTGAATCAGAGGAAACTGTTCATTTCTTCTTTCTTTGTTGATGAGCTATTGGACAAACTAGAGTTTGCTAGGGCTTTCCCGGGTCCTGGTGCTAGTTATGATGATTTTGCAAATCCTGGAAGATTAGACTTAGAGTTGCATCTGTAATATAATATTGTCCATGTACATTATGCGTTAGTCATAAATATTGTTCTAAGCTGCATGACCAGTGCATTTCAGAAGAGTATTTATTTCCAACATCAATATGTACCATGTAAATATTAATCCCTTTTTTTATCTTCCAGTCTATCACTGTTGGTGTGACTGTTTCAGATCTTGTTTTGTGTTGTCATCTTGTTGCGACTTTTCGCGTCAGTAGGGTATATAACGAGTCAATTATCTTAATGTTTGTATGTAGATTCATCCCTATAATGTGTTTCAGATTCGATACATATGTCGTATTCGATCCTGTTTATGAGGCTCTATTCGTGTTCGGTAGATTCACTTTTGGGGAATTTATTCACTTTCTCTCTTCAACGTATTCTTCAGATTGAGAGAAGTTGATCCACATCGTTCACTTAGCCATTTGCGTACTATGACATACGTATATGTCGCGCTTATCGGGTTTACAGTCCCTCTTCTTGATCTTCTGATGTCGACTGTGATCGTCGAAGAACATCTTGAGGCAATCTAAACTTTATTGCAATCGGGTCTATGAGGATACTAGCAACTCAAGAGAAGCAAATTTTCAATGAGTTAAGCATGTGTGTTATGACATAGTAACTTACTTTTTGATTACCTTCACGGGGCAGAGATGTCGAGGAGGATGCGGATGCAGGACTTTGAAAATACTGACTCAATGATCCGAAAATCGTTTTTAAAACCAATTGCTCCGATACAAAAATGTAACACCCTAATCCGTATAACCCAGAATTACATGAATTAAGGTGAAACCAGAGTTAACTAAAAATTTCGCTTGACATTTGAAATTGACAATTTCAATAAATGTTAAATTTACAGACTCTGGATCGCAACCCATTTAAAAATATTTTCGGAGTAACGCGGAAGTACAATAATAATCAAATCATGACACATTTAAAATCTTGATGATCAAACATTTGCCTGCAATCCCTGCATCTCCTCCGACTCATTACCCTTCGGGAGTGGTTCCGTCATTATCTTCTTGTTACCTACGTGTAGTCAACGAAAAATACAAACTACACGCTCAGCGAAACCGCTGAGTGGTACCATCGCCGGCCACGGCGGCCGGAAATTGGAGATCGCCGTGGGAAGCGAAATCGCCTAGAGAGAGAGAGAGCCCTTGCAAGGAAAGTCCCTATGATTCTTCGAGTGGATTTTGAAATCTACACCCTTGCGTTGGATCTTCACGGAAGGAAAGAAAATCGGCAAGGAAAGTCCTGATGATTCTTCGCTGATTCTTTGAGGAATCTTTGTGTGGATTCTGAAATCTACACGGTCAAACTGTGAAGTTGATGCCCGCCACACTGACACAGTTATTTGTTCAAAACCTGAAGAAGCAAAAACATCCCTATTACATGTAAAATATTTTTCCTTTTCAGTGGGATTATTCATATCTAAGTGTAGAAGAAAAACCAATGAAGCTTTGCAGAAAGTTATTTCCTGTACTCATCATGGCATCATGTGAGGTTACAAGTAGACGACATACATGGAGACCCATTTCGATCGGTGTGAGAAAGATCCTTTCTTTTCTGCAGATGACAGGAATCTGCAGACAGGTAGAATTACAATCATTTCGTGTTTCATATGTTTTGTAATTTGTTCTTTTATTGGTTTCTTTTCTTTTCTCGAGCTCTGTTAATAATTGATCAACTTATATACTAATAGAAAGGTAAAGATGGGTGCTTTTGTTGATTTTCCGGATCTCATTCAAAATGGAGAAACATTTTATATTTCTTTTTTCCATTGATGAAGGATGGAATCAGTTTATAAAACATGGATTCAATTGGCTAAGGATAAATCTAAAGTTTGGAACTCCGAAGAGCTTTGTCGAGATCTAAAGACTGCTCTTGGAACTACCAAATGGCAGGTGAACCCTCTAAATTGCAGTGGGATTCCTTCAAAAGGAATTTATTTTTATTATTATTTTGTGAAGGAGGGAAAAAAATATGAAGCTTTGCAGAAAGTTATTTCCTAAACTCATCATGGTGGCACTCCAGTTTGACATTTAAAAAAATTGCTTACATTCTAGGTGAGAGGGTTGATAAAGATGGAAAGGTGAAAATTGAAGATGCCCAAACTATGCGAGTACGGGGTACCATTCCTCTTTCTAAACTGGAAGAAGAAAGAGCAAAGCTTCACATGTATGATTATGATCCTATTTCAATAATATTCTCTTACCAACTTACCAAACAATATTTGAAATGCCAATGTCGCAAGTATTATGCCTTGATTTGTTTTTGACTTTTGTATGGAGGATATTTGCAGGGTGAGGGATTTGATAGAAGACTAATGTCAAAAGCTGATGTTTCCAAAATTCCTCATACAGCTTTGGATGTAAACCCAAGGAAGCAAATTCATTTCCTCTGGTATTCTTTTTCTTCATTAATATTTTCTTCTTTTATAAGTTTAGAACACCTAGAATGTTATACCCGAACCGGGGGTCTTAACGAGTTGTTATTTTGAGAAGGAATTAAGGGATGATGCAGCTTGAGTTCAGGGTTCAGGAGCAGATGATAATCGATTATGGCCAGGTGATAATCGATTGTGGAGCTGTGCTGCTAAAACCCAGGAACTTCAGGGAAAGCAAATAGTCGATTATCGGCATATGATAATCGATTATTGAGGCTCGCAGCTTATTCCAAGGGAATTCAGGAGGATAAGATAGTCGACTGACAAAGAGTGATAATTGACTGACTGCGGGATTTCAAGAGGATGTGATAATCGATTGTCTAAAGTGGACAGTCGATTATTGAGGGCTGCAGGTGTTTCAACGATGATGGATAATCGATTGTCAATCAAGATAATCGATTGTTGGGCAGAATTCTGGGCAGGAAAAAGGGTGTTTTGTGGGGAAATGGCTTGGAAATATATGGAGATGATAAAGGAGTTCTTTTGGGTGTTTTTAATGGGAGAAAAGAGTGAGATTAAGAGGAGAAATAGGGAGGTATGAAATGGGAGAAAAATCAGGGATGGATAAACCAAGTTGGTGTTTAAGAGATATTACACACTCTTATCCTCACTTGGGGTTTGAATCTAGAATTTA